TGCGTCACAAGAAACCTTAACTTGAGTTTCTTTGTTCCTCACTAAACCAAACGACCAAGTTTCCCAGATACAAGATTGGTTAAAGGCCATATCTGATAACAAAAGATAAACGTGACATTTAATTAAGCATACACTTTACAATTGCCATGTATGCTAACAAATTCGTTTACATAGCAAGGTGCAGATTTTATGATCAGTGAGAGTATATATGCTTGATATAATGGTCAAGTTTTGGTCCCTTTTTCGACTTGTGTCAGTGTGTTACGCGTTTACGATTTGCCGGAAAAAATAGTAGGTAAATAGCGGAAAACATTTTATTTTCTTGAAATATTTGTATTTTACGAACCATGTCCCGAAGATGTGGGGCGTAGTGGCCTTTGACGCAGGAAATGATGTCCATTATTTTTTATTTACATTTAAAAAAAAATTAATTTTTGATTTAAAGATAAATTGCAATTAATGTTTAGGTCGCCGCGAATAAATAAAGAGGTCGGTTCGGGAAATCGCGTAACCACAACCCTATATTTTGTTATTTTGGCCTAATATGTTAATGCTGCAATAGAATACCACAGAGATGCCACACATATGGTTGAAAGCAATCTGTATTTCTGTCGCCATCAATTAGTAGTTTTCGAGGGTTGGGACCCGAGTTTGCTAGTGGGGTTCCAGCATGCCCCCCGGAAAAAATTTTGATTCTGAGATGCAATTTCCTGGCATTCTGAGGTGTTCAAAAATTGACAATATATCGACAAAAATAACCAAACTTTTTGTTTCGCGATCAGTTGAAATTTTTGTAGTTTGATACAAGAAACTGGTTGTAGTGGTGCAAAAGGATAGAAATGTTCGTATTAAATAGAATTAAGAATCGTAGTGGTTGGGCATCTCTTGGATATACGTAATTCCCGTATCTCTACTTTTCTTGGTATATCCTTGAAATGTCTGGATGACTGAAGTTATGCCCCGAAATAGTTTTGAGCATACAGTACAATAACTGTAAGCAAACATCTGGCAAAATTCAGAAATTTCTTTTATTCAACTCACATGCAACTGAATTGCTAGTTGCAATCAGTGATTAAGAATCATAAAAATGGGCACATTTTGCACTTAGTGGTTTAGAATTGTGAAACTTTTTGCACGACGCATAATACATAGGAGTCGCTTGAAGATTTTCTGATACAGTCGTCCATTTGAGATATATCGACAATGAGTTATCACGAATTTTACGATGAGCATGGCCTGTAATGTCAAAATGTTCCCTTATTTAGTACGCAAAATACACTATGTTAAACAAGAATGACCGAAGTCAGATGATTGATCTTTTTTGACATATCGGACATTTGCAAGCAAGTTTTCATTATTTTTAACCATTTCATAGTTTCCAAATCCTTATTTGATGCATTGACACTTAAGAGTAGCCTTACTACTCAATAAATTATATGTAGCTTCCTAGAATAATTAAGTGGCAGGATTCATCTAACGATCATCTCGAGCTATTCCTGGATAAATAGTGAGGTGAGTATTTTGAAAAGTCTAATAGCCAAAACGCTGAAGAGTGTTATAACTGCATACTACTCGTTAACACGCCAAGCGGGCGCTGTATCTGCCACCAGATGCACTCAGGTTTCTTTAGCATATGATCAGAAAGTTCTTCAGGGAACCACATTGTAAGTACGCTGTAGTGCAAAGTTTTCACAATTCTAACCAAAACCGATGCACAATTCAAAGGACGAAGCCATCATAAAATTTAATACCACTTTTAGACAGTACTTTTCTTGTAAATCGAAAATAAATTTTGCTGCTCCCAGATGTTAGTGAGTATGCCAACATTTTACCTAGCCATGTAAAGAGCAGTTAGTGATGATATAGTACATAATCATGGTATACAAATTACCTTAAAAATTACCATCTGGAATCTTGCAGTGAATACTAAATGGTAAACTGCATTAAAGGGCACAAAGGCAAATGCCTAATAAACAGAATTATAAAACTAAACTAAAAATGTAATGTTGGCTCTTATTTAATTATTGCATAAGTTCTATATATAAAGTCTACGCTGGCAATATACAACATATTATTCCAAAACGTTGCACACAATAGATATATTAACCACAATAAGATCATGCATAACAAATAATATAACACACATCCTTTACTCTATTTTACGTAAATATTAAGTAAGATATGATGAATAAATAAGAATCTACTACAAATAGACAATTTTGCAATTTTTAATATTTTGATGTAAGTTAATAGTAAGTGTTGAGACTGTGAATGTAGAGTAATAGCTTCAAAGGGGTAGTAGACTCTATGATCTTGTACTGCATACGACTGTACTTATTATAACAAATGCGGTTCTATGACCCACACGGTATTTGTTCACCAGAGTAGCTATTTATATTGTTACTAATTAATGTAACATCAACGCTAACAAAAGCTTTGAACGGCCGCCATGACAACCGCGACCGTTGCTGCAGCCACCGCCAAAAAATGTGCGTATTTACATTGTTGTTCTGCAACAGTTACAGACCGAGGGGCTAATCACAATAAGTGGCGAATATATTTATAACCTAATATGCATTTAACGAAACGACTAATTATGTTTAGGGAAAATTTATCGCTATTATAACTGAACTATATGTCGGTTTATAAGATATACAATTCTTCTGTGCTTTTTTAAAATTAATAAATAAGAAACGACGCCTCGGTGTTAGCCCTTTGCTGAAAGTGGTTTGCCGCAATTACAGATCGTGGGCTATAGAGGGCCACACGTCATTGGTAAGACAAACTGTAGTCGTTAGTTTTTTTAAAAACATTTCTTTAATTAAATATTTCTAATGTGATTGACACCATGAAACCTTTTTAGCTGTAGCGTAATTTTAACCTCAAATTAACTTGAAAATAACCGCTAGAACCTAGAGTAAACGATCCCTTTAATTAGAAAGAAAATAAATGTAAATTGGTAATCGTAACACGCCGATGCTAGAATTTGAAATGACGGGAACCTTGTAAAAAATAATTAAAATACATTGGTCACTGATTTACATCACTTAAGTATAACAGTTTTTACAGCTTTATGACACTGAAGTTTTTGTTTATTGGGTTATGACTCGCAGATTCTTGCTTTCCAATTTTATTGGCCTGGCACACCTGTAAAAAGTTATTTCTCATCAAGGGGTTTACTCTGTCTGGTTGTATGTTGCAGTTTGATTACCTTTGTTTATTTTTTCAACACGTGCATATATATATATATATTCGAGCATTTGACTATACAACATGCTACCAAGCCCAGGAATTATCACTAACTATAATACATTAGAACGTTCATGTCTGTCACACCCCAGCATATCAGAAGTTTGAACGATATACTGATGGTGCTAACTATACTGTTGTTATATTTGTTATATGTATGAAGTTATAAGAGACGCCTGGGGAGAGAAGAAAAGGACAATAAAGAGAGAGAGAGATGAGAGAGAGCAAGAGAGATGGGAGAGCAGGAGAGGGAGAGACAGAGAGAGAGAGAGCAGCAGAGAGAGAGAGAGAGAGAGAGAGGAGAGATGGGAAGAGGCGAAGAGACAGGTAGAGAGAACAGAGAGAGAGATGAGAGACGCGTGAGAGAGAGAGAGAGAGAGATGGGGAGAGGGGAGAGACAGTGGTTGAGAAGACAGGAGAGTGAGAGAGTGAATAGAAATAGGAGAGACGCGAGTGAGAGAGGAGGAGGAGATGTAGTATAAAGATGGAAGAATAAAAAGAAAAAGAGATACAGCAGAGAGACAGAGGGCAAGAATGATGAGCAGAGAATAGTGGATAGATGAGGAGATACACTGGATAATTGAGGATGATTAGATGGCAGGTCTGCCAAGGCTTTTTCATTATAGCATGGCGGGTGCTGCCTTTACGGTCCTAGGTTGGCAAATCCCGAAGGCGGTTTGCGCATGCTACGGGGCTCGTAGGTCGGGCTATTGATATTTAGCATAGGCGGCTATGATATTAGGAGTGGCGGTCGGGGAATTTTATATATATATATATATATGTTCAATTCTGTAAGACCTGCTGTGATTACACACCCCTACGGCCATAGCAACACATAGATTGTTGATCATTATTCCATGTGTGGAAAAGGTGAAAGTCTTATTGCGTACCAGAACACTCCCAGATTTCCAGTAATGTGTTGCTACTGGGTGGATACCTGTCAGGAATTTTTCTGAATAATTTTCTAATTAGACAATTATCCTTATTTCTGTGTTCATCTTACTAAAATAGGTAATATAATTGTTATAGTTTTTTTTTGCTTTCATGTATAGGAACTTAATAAGTATGGCCTACTATTCTACAACTCGTTATTCATGCTTGGACCATGCATGTTCTCCGTTTGGTTCTCTGGTGACTGGAAACTGGTATGTCAATTATGTGATATTAGTGAAATAAGTTCAAGTTTAAAACACTGTTGAATATTGTAATTATGAAGTAGCATTTAAAATGTGTGCACCACGTACATAGCAGTAACCATCCAACAGTATTCCAAAGTTTATTGATCAATCAAATTTTAATAGAAAAAACGTGGAAAAGAAGGTAACAATTGCTTTATATTGTCATTATATATTTAATACTTTAATGATGGGAAGTAATTATTCAGCCACATGGTGTAATAGACAATTGTATCAGTATCTACATGATTAAAATTCTGAGCACAAACATAGCTGATGAAAGAATTGCTGGCGTGTATTTGTATACAGGTTATTACTGAAATTCTAGCAATACCCCTAGGCAGGTTCTCCAAATTTTATTAAAATGCATGACGTGAAAAGAGTAATCATTTGCCAAAATCTTTTAAACTGTTGCGTTGTCCTTGCCACTGCAATGGTGTGCCTTGCCTTGTAATCACTACACGCCCGCGTGTGCCCATGCACGAGTGTGTAGACGCGTGTATGTGTACGCGTGTATGCCCATACCTCTGCATATAGTTGTGCGTACGTGCATTTATTCGTTAACTGCATGTGTGTACATATTTCTGGCATAGTGCATAGTCCTTATGCCTGGTTTCATCTGTTTATAATATCGTGTTTTTACATTCTTTCCAGGCTTTGGACTTTGAAGGCTGGAGTAGTCCATGGTTTGTTTCCCAGTTTCTCATATCTTGCGTGATGGGCTTTATTCTCATGTACTCTGTTGTCTTGTGTACAGCCTACAACTCTGCCCTCACTACTACCATTGTTGGCTGCCTCAAGGTACATCATAAATCTAGCAATAAATACTGCTTTGATAACTCACTTATTACTCTGAAATTTTATTATAAAACACTTCTTTGCACTACTATGTTAGAATCACATAATTAAATGTGTACCTAAAAATTATGGCAATTGGTATGCTTTAATTTGCATACAATTTAGTGTTTATAAAAAAAGCAAAGTGCTAAGCACATATCACAAACACATGCCTTTTAAAAGGTGTGCCATGGTAATAAAACAGCATATTATATCTTTGTCCTTGTAAGATTTATCATTTCCTTACTACTGATTGCAGAATATGTTTGTTACTTACACTGGTATGATCGTTGGAGGCGACTATATCTTCAGCTGGACAAACTTCATCGGTCTTAATATAAGGTAGGCTCACTTCTGCAATGTGTTCTTAGGAGTAAATGAGTACAAATTTGACTTTATTTGCTCCTGATGTTATCCAATAAATTTCATTTCCATGATGATTGATAAAATACCAATGTGGGCACGTGTGAACCTGTTTTCTTACCCTGTGGCTGCATGACAGTTGCTCTTGTCTGCTTACGTATTCAATTTTCTGGGAGCGCCTGCGCTCTATAGGCTTCATTGAGGCTATAGCTTGAGGCAATAATCACGTATCAGGGTGTATCATAGGGCAGAATATCTCATGACAGTTTGAATAAGGAAACTGATGGGCATGTGCTGGCATGAGTAGGAATTAACATTTTGATCAAATGCTCTGGCCTAAAACTGAGAGAGTCAACAACAAATTGAGTCTACTGTAGCAGCAAGAATGACATGACTGTTTAAAATAACTGTTGTAGTTTTCCATGGAATACGAATTCACTGAACGCACTGCATGCAAACGCTGAACACAGTAGAGTATTTAAAGTTTTGGGATTTTTGGTTATGGCTGTCTATGACAGAATTTGCATGGAGTCGCATGGATTCGAGCTGAAATTGAATAAGAGAGTCGGGCAGTAGAGCAGGGGGGTATGTTTGACTTCTGGCTCGCGTCCCCTCGCTGTTGGTTCAAGCCTGTCATTTATAAACTGACGTTACACTGCTATCCATGATTAGTATTTCACGGCCTTGCCTAGAAGCTTCTTTACCCATAATAAACCTGTTGCCCGTCGATGTACAACCGTTTATTAGCCGCGTAGCATACATGGGTATCTTCTAATATAGTAAGAGCATGAAAACATACATAATATATAAATAAACTACATGATTGAATTTATTATATATATATTATGAAATATTATTACTGTTATTGTTCACTTTTGTTTTTATCAAATGTATGATTTCAATATAAATCTATTTAGAAATTAGTTTAGTAAATGGCAAATTACTACATGATTTTATTTATTATATATATATTATATATACTACCAGTAGTGACAGAATTGTTATTCGTGTTCATAGTGAGAAGAATACATTTCATTTGTTATTGTAGTCCTGATAGCGTGCACACGTATATATCCCAGCACTAAGGCATAGTTACATTTGCAGCGTTGCAGGGAGCCTGGTGTACGCTTACGTAACGTTTGTACAACCGCCAAAAATAAGGAAAGAGGTGCAAGACCAGATAACAGGAGTATAGTATAACGCCATGTTGTGGTAGAAATCATCGAATTTGATCGGTTCTCGTGCGGATTTTCTACTTCACGGAATTGGTTTCAACTGTTCTTTCACCGCGCAACTCCATTTATAACCAGGCACGTGGCGGTATTCTGTGGTTGTACATAGACTGCGGTTGTTCATATGTGCGGTTGCACATATTCTGTGGTTTGTGTCATAGGCGGCTGTTATCACGTGTATATTGCTCGCTGTTATTCCACGATGCGAATGTCTACCCGTGGCTTAGGGAAATTCTCTAAAGTGATCTACTTATTGGTGGCTTGGTTGTTTGATGCTGCATAATGCGAGGGCGTGGCCACTCAACTACGTATTATATAAGCAGTGCTACATGAATGTTCGAGGGAAATGCACAATAATGTATATTATAGACTTACTATTACTTGGCAGGAAGTTACCAGGTTTGAAGTGTGATGCGTTAACTGTGATGGTGCCCATTTAAGTCGGTGAGAAATGCTACGGGGACAATTGCATTTGCATCTAGTGGCCTAGCATACATCACTATCATCATGTATAAGATCAGGAGTACACGAAGAGAGATGCATCACTATTTATTACGCCTGATAAGATAACACACACACGCACACGCACACACACACAGAAACACACACGCACGCACGCACGCACGCACACACACACACACACACATATATATATATATATATATATATATATATATATATATATATATATATGCGGTACAACAACATAGTTCTTTGGGTTTTGGAGGTAACAGTAAAGGTGGTGCCAGAGATACATCATTACATCATTACTAGCATGACCTTATGTAGATATAGATATGTATTAATATGTACATATCTATACTCGGACACGCCTACAGCTGCATTTAGATATGTTCATAATATTATATATAGGCTATTGATACTAGTCATGTAAAGATACTATAGTAGTGATGTAATTTTGGTGGGTTAACAATAAGAGACTCATTACATATATATTTTTGTATTTTAGGCGCATTGCGAACCATGTACCGTTCCCCTACATTAACAATTAAATAATATAGAATTGTTGTTTAAATTGACTACGTCACGAATTTTCCATGGTAAAATTTGTAAAATTTTGGTTGCCATTTTTTTACATTAAAAGTAAGAACAAACGAGACTAAACGTATCGTCAAATTCTTACCTGATAAGATTGTTTTTCAACTAGTTAAAAATCCCCAAAACCTGGACGATTAGTGTTCCTGACATTAATTGCTTGTTATGGGCTATGTATGCGTCACGAGTGTATGTTTACATCGAACAATATAGTAAAATAAGAAGTATAATGCAGCAATTTAACCATAACAAGTTAACAGAATTACTTATATTTTGTGAAAAAGTGGAAATATTTTTTTTAATTTTTACTATTTACGGTGACGTAATCACTTTAATATTGAGGCAGATGTAAATGATTATTAGTGCCATCTTAGATATTTACAACAAGATTAAGTAATTAAATGTTCCATGACGTGTGTTACACGTAACATGTATCTACACAAAAATTACATTTTTTCTTGAGATATTGATCTTCTCACACATTTCGTTTAGTTTGTTTTATTATCAAAACGGTTCCGGTATTCATTGCATTGCTGTTGTATAAATTATTATGCCGTATTTTTATTTACGTGTTGCTAATATCGATGCATCAATACTTGCAACGAAATAAGAGCATTTGTTTGTTCGGTTACTGAATATTAATTAAATACTTACATATTAATATTTTAATGTGTGTAATATTCATGGTTGCTTGTTCTGATATGATAATCGTAAAGGAATTGCGTGTGAGTAATCTCTACACGTGACCTTGGTGCTCCAATTTACACGTGAGGTCGTTCTACATCTCAACTACAGTCTCATGTGTTGAACGATCCAAGCATTGTCTAACGGATCTCTAATGTTTTATATTTACAAGCAAGTACCTAATAATAAACCCTCACATACACTGCTTTCAGAATTAATCATTTATTTTTCTTTAATATATTCACGCTTAGTATTTGTAGAGTGTATAAGTCCATAATGTGTACTTCTTAGTTGTAAAAGTAATACATGAACTAGGAAAATTACATTATTATTTAAATGTACTAATTTATGCAATATGAGGCAATACCAACTCAACATATCATCGTATTCGTCAACATATCAATACTCTAGGACCTGTTGTCAGAAATGAAATTAGCCTTATCAAAAATCTTAACATTATATACCGTTAACTCATAGACCGTTAACAGAACTATGGGAAAACCATGAGTTTCTCGTACACAGTGTATAGAGATAGGTCCGGTCTATAAGAAAAAGTTTAGGTTAAGACTAATGTTAAGACGAATTTTGTTTCTGACAACGGGCGCCTGAACATACCGTATGGGACAGTGGTATAGGTACGTTTATGATATAGTGTTACCTTGTTGGATAATTAGTTAAACAGGTAATTTATATACTTATTTTCATGTACGCTATTGTCTTAACATAACTTACGCAGAAATGTATCTATTATATATAAGTGTAACAATTGGCTCTCGCTTGTGGGTAAGAGTATAAGAACACGTGTATAGTTGTGTTCATTCTAACATGCTGTGTGCACATAATCGTGGTAAGTGCGCACGTATACCACGTCTGTGCGGGGCACACTGTGGGTCACGGAAAATCCGTCGTTGCTACCAGTGAAGAACTCGTTGCCTAACGTGTAAACAGATATAAAGGCCTGTTTCATCAGCGAAAAGATTTAACGCTATTCTTACGACGTGCTAAAGAACTCGTAGTTACTCATATATGGGTTGTTAACACAATTGCGTGTGTATGCTTTAAAGAACGGACTTGCCTTCGCGTTGTCTTGACATGATAAGTGCAGGAAACGTACAGGCCTAATTAGTCTCGTGTCATTTCACGCACAATGTTGTTATGGGTGCTGTTCTATGTAACCTACATAGAAGTATTTCAAATAAAAGGGAAATCTTTTTACACCAGCATGTATATAGTTCGTATTATATATACATACAAACCCACGAACGCACACACACGCACGCACGCACGCGCGCGCGCATTCACGCGAGTTAAAGCAAAGGTTTGTCTTGACCAATTTTCCTACAGTTGCTGTATATTTCACGTGGGCAATAGTCGTGCACGAGTGAGTTGGCGAACGAATGTGCTCATTTACGCTCCTAATTATTCTTAACAATCACTTGTCCTCGTTCGAGCAAGAAACTCAATTAAATAACATCGCTTTGACACGTTTTCAATCGACGATGCGACGTACACTTGTCGAAGCTGGTAACAGGTTCTGTTAATCGAAGCCGGTTGTCGTATTGTGTGGTAACAGTGCCGCGTCAGTACAGGGTAACGTTAGAGCAGCATAGATAGACCTACTTACGTGTCCTAGCTTTTCTACGCACGACGCTTTGATGGCGAAATCTTCTCGAGTCAATAATAATTTTTTTGACAATGCACGCGGATCTATTAAGTTGTATCGAGATATCGTAACAATTGCTATCGTCGTGCTTTTTTGCTGCACACACGGTGTCTTTTAATTTCACTCCGTTCATTTATAGTACTTTCATCAGACTAACTCTGGCACGGCCCACAGCGAGTGGAGTGAATTCCAGGTGTTTTGTGCATGTTAAGTGACATGCCATTGCTTATCATTTTCGTTTACGGACCTGTTTATCATGAGTTACGACAGTAGTTCACGGTTATCCGATTTAATTCGGTTTCGGTTCGTAGATTGTCGGCATCGGTGGTTGACCTCCCAACGTTTTCCTGTTCTGCTGATTCCGCTGCAGCGTGTCCGTCTGCTGGGTGGTCCGCTGACGCTGGTTGCCTAGCAACGGGCGCGGCGCCGCCGTCTGCTTGTCGTTGCGCCGCCTGGCGTCAAGCTCCGACTCGCTGCGCGCCTTCTTTCCGTCCTTGGCGAGGAAACTGAACCAGCGGTCGATCTTCGTGCCCGTCGTTTTCGCGCCGGCTTCCTTGCTGCCGAGCTTCTTCTTCGCGCGCGCGTCGAGCGTCTGCGAGCGACGGTCCTCGAACGTGACGCCGCCGGCGGCCGACGCGCTCTCCGTCTGCGTCGTCGTCGTTCGCTGCGACGGTCGTCGCTGCAGCGCCGCCACGTTGTTGGTGCGCGCCTGGCCGGCGACGAACGCCGAGCGCGTCGGGTAGCTGTCCATCGTCTGCGAGCGGGTGACGCGAGAACGAGAGCCAACATTCCGCTGCTGCTGCTGCTGCTGCTGCTGCTGCCCGGGGAATTTGTTAACACTCGCGCTCAGTCGCTGAGATGCTCGTGTGTTACTGTCATACGCACGCGCGTCCAGTCTATCGCCAACGTCGCCGCGTCTCGATTGTTCGTTGTACGTTATCGCCTGCGAGCGTTTCTCGATCGTAGAGCCACCGCCGCCGCGGTCCCGCCGCAGCGTGCTGGCAGCGTGGACAGCGCCGCCGCCGCTGCGTTCGTCCGAGCTATCGCCGCTCGTGTGCCCGCTGGGCTGCGAATTCTTCAGGATGCCGTTGCGCGGCTCCGCGCCGGCCGCCATCTTGTCGTTCTGCTCGGCGTTGATCTTTGTCGTGAAGTGGTCGTAGACGCGTCGGTCGGAGTCGTCGGCGGCGACGGGCAGTTTTACCTGCGGGATGAGATAGTAGTCGGGCGGCGAGTTGTCGCCGTGTTCCGGCCCGCCGCCGCGTCTGTCGCTGTCGCCTGCAGCGTTGCGGCGACGCAGTGTGTTGGCGCGCGGCGGCGCCGTCGGTTTTCGCAGCGAGGCGTAGTTGTCGCTGTGTTGTTGCTGCCCCCGCGCCGCCTCGCGTTGTGTGACCACCCGCTGCTGCTGCTGTTGATGCTGTTGTTGTTGATGTTGTTGTTGTTGATGTTGTTGTTGATGATGTTGTTGATGTTGTTGTTGTTGTCGATTTGGCTGTTGCTGCTGTTGCTGCTGCTGATGATGTTGATATTGTTGCTGTTGTCGCTGCGTCTGTTTACGAGGCACGGCGTACAGAGCCTCTACCGGCGTCGGCTCTTCCGGGCCGAAGTCTATTCGCACCTCGTAATCGTCGTCGGTTGGTTTGTGTCGCGGCAGCGGCGGCGGCGCGCGCCCGTTGATGCGCGACTCGCGCGCCGCGCTGGAGTTCTCCCCAGCGTGAAAGCTGCTGCGTGTACCACGCGAGCGCACCAGAGCGCCGCCGTGGTTCTCCTGGTTCCGCGAACCCGCCCGCGTGCGCTCGTTCACGAACTCCTTGCTGTTCTTCACGCCAGACGGCGAGTCCGGTTGCGCGAGCGCCATCTTGTGCGTGACGTCAGTGGGCGAGGCTGCCTTGATTCGCGGGATGCCGAACATGTAGTAGGGCTGGTTGTCCAAACCGACAGGCGTCTCTGTCGTTGTCCGTCTCTCGTATCGTATGTTTTCTTGTGTCTTTGTCGACATTCCCCTGAACGACAGAGAAGCGGGACAGATTTTCATGATTGCATTGATCGACATAAATCTTGAGGAAATAATGACGTCGGATATTATTAAGAGAATACTCGATTGCATGAGTTTAATTTAATTCATCAGGTTCGGCATACGAGTCAATAAATTATACACAATTTCACTTATATTATTAATAAAGAGTAACAGAGCATAATTTTAGTCTTGTGATAACAATATAGCACTTTGATAATTATAA